AGCGTCGCCCTGAACTATGTGTTCACTGAGATCTTCCTGAAAAATGAGGTTAAGAATAACCCAAATTCTTATACTTCAATATCTTCCATTTAAAGATCAAAAGACATCCTTTAAAATCAACTCAGAATCTATGGAGGAAGATCAGTAAGACACACAACCAAATTTATATTCAGGTAATTTAGATAGCTTTGTTGTAATGAGTAACACATTTTCTTTTAGTATATAAAGATATTTAGTATATAGTATATTTAAGATTTTATGTGTTACTTTATTGATCAAAACTGTTGATTTGCACTTCTGATCCTCTAACATGTATTAGGCGAATATAAAGCTCAGACTGAAAGTTTCTAAGTACTTTTACATTCCAAGACTAAGATATACCTGTAGTGACTTTTAATGTATATTTTATTCTTTAAAAATGCATCTACACAGATGACACAGAGGGATAGGACACCGAACACTCAACTTTGAGACTATACAGCATATTTCATCCGCCTAGTCTATGAATAAATTTGTATTTCCAAAACTGCTAACCAAATGAAAGGGAAGTTAGGCTGCTTGAGAGATTATTAAGAGGTAGGTACTAAAAGAACAAGGAAATGTTCAACCAAAACCTCATATTTTTAGAACAAAAGTCTCCCAGATCTTATTAATTAGGCAAGATCTAATTATAAGGTTATAACTTTATTATAAGTGTTACTTACTGGATTCTAATCCATCCTGAATTTTGCTATTTTAAGAAACAGTGGCTAGGTGCTACTGTTGGGCAAGGAATATTCCCTACTCTCAAAAAGCTAAACTCTAATCTAGTGGAAATGAGAGTGGAAACACCAAAGAGCCAGGACCTTAGGGGAGGACCCAGTGTTATTCGTGAGGAGCAGCTGAACAGCCCATAAGCAGAGAGCTCTAGTGTAAAGTGGCACAAGCAGCTCTGGAAGGTTGGCAGCACAGATTCTGAATAACCTGGCACAATTTTCATAGCAACTATTTTTTCTTACATATTTATACTATCAAGTAAAGTTGCAAAAATGGGTCCACTGTTACAATGAATTCTTATAAAATGCTTCAATAAACCAGACTTCAGTCATAAAGGACTCAATCATGCTAGTTACATCAGTTTGCCACCAAGAGTTACACAGCCTGTGCTTCCCTCTATCCTTGGAAGCTCCTCTGGATACAATTCATTTATATTTAGAATAGACACAGACATCAAGACATCTGGTCTTGATTTAAAACATCAATTATGAATTCTGCAGCCTGTGGAATGAAACCCCATTCACAGAAAGATAGACAAAATGAAAAGACAGAGGACTATGTACCAGATGAAGGAACAAGATAAAACCCCAGAAAAATAACTAAATGAAGTGGAGACAGGCAACCTTCCAGAAAAAGAATTCAAAATAATGATAGTGAAGATGATCCAGGACCTCGGAAAAAGAATGGAGGCAAAGATCGAGAGGATGCAAGAAATGTTTAATAAAGACCTAGAAGAATTAAAGAGCAAACGCCTAGAAGATTAAAGAACAAACAAACAGAGATGAACAATACAATAACTGAAATGAAAACTACACTAGAAGGAATCAATAGCAGAATAACTGAGGCAGAAGAACGGATAAGTGACCTGGAAGGCAGAATGGTGGAATTCACTGCCACAGAACAAAATAAAGAAAAAAGAATGAAAAGAAATGAAGACAGCCCAGGAGTCCTCTGGGACAACATTAAATGCACCACCATTCATATTACAGGGCTCCCAGAAAGGGAAGAGAGAAAGAAAGGACCTGAGAAAATATCTGAAGAGATTATAGTGGAAAACTTCCTTAACATGGGAGAGTAAATGGCCATCCAAGTCCAGGAAGCACAGAGTGTCCCAGGCAGGATAAACCCAAGGAGAAACATGCCGAGACACATAGTAATCAAATTGACAAAAATTAAAGACAAAGAAAAATTATTGAAAACATCAATTCTGAAGTTCTCAATTATAATTTTAATAGCACCTGAATCTGTCAACTCTTGCATTTTTAAAATCTGCTAACATGTATAGAGGAGTAAACATCTAAAAAGTTGTATGAATCATGCATTTACACAAATTAACCTATGATAAAAATCAAAACATATGTAAAAATAAGCTCCTGTCTGTGTTGTCTCTCACCCCCCTCAGTGAAATATACTCACCTCAAAAAAATCAAATATTAGTTCCAGGTTATCTGGTTCCATTGTCTGTATACTATACTCTGTCCAACGATCAGGCTGTAAGCCATACCCACACTCCGGCTGTGAATGCCTGCACTTGAACTCATTGTCGCTTATTAAGGATATCTCCAGACTATTGGACATTTTGTGAAGAACAGTGGGAGATACCCTATCATCGTCATCTTCCTCCAGACCCTCTAGTGTCAGCTTTACCCTACATAAAATGAAAAAATAATGAAATGCAAAAAGTGAAAAAGAAGGAAAATCCATATAAATGTTACCAAAACATTAAATTTAAAAATGCTCCTTGTATATGCTAAACCCTCAAATAAAAATATTACACAGACTACACATACTACAGGTTAAGGCATTAGTTATACTTTATAAAATAGTGATTTTTTAATCTCCACACATTTCTGCAAAGTATTAAAATGAGATAAATGCTCATTATGCCTAAGGCTGTTTTCATTAATTCTTTAGGTTTTTAAAAATGAATCTAAAAGGGCATTTACTATTATCCATTTATAATTGGCTATCTCAATTTCTTATGAGAAGTTTCACAAATATATATATAAAACAAGTACAAATTTGAACCATATTCTGTTAGTGTGCATTAAAAGACCGTTAGAGTTTGTAGTTGTAAATTTTTAAATTTCCTTTCTTCTCCTCACCACAGTGAGTCCCCGTACTTTGTGAACAGTACATCATTAAAGAAAACTATTGTATTAAATATATATATTTGCATGTATTCATGGTTTTTATGTATGTATATTTATATGTATGTACCTTTTTAATGAAACAAATGAATAAAAAAATAAACCAAGAGTCTAAAACTCTTACAGACTCCACAGCAATGAAAACAAAACACAAGTTACCCAAGCTATTGGGTCACAAAGACTAGTTTACTCCCAATGAGAAGCGATTAGTTGCACAGAGCACTTGTAATGCCAAACAGTCAACTCAATTCTAGAATATTTCTTGCACCAACTGGAATGTTCATAGATTAAACAACTTTAATACCAGTGATGTAGAAGCAACATTATTGTACAGAATACAGCTGCGCTAGGAAAACTTTTCATTCTAGATTTAAATGAGATCCACTTAATAATACAAGTAACAGAACTGTATTAGTGAGGCCTGCTCTCTCCGAAGACATTGCTGCCTTCAACCACCGTGCAGACTTGCCTCATAGGCACACACTCTGAAACCTTCCAGAGGGGATATGAACACAGGTTATTCAATTAGTAATAATGTTCCGCAATCATAATGTAAAACCAAAAGTAGCACCACTTTAATAATCCAAACAAAAATGATCATCTCTTCTCTCCAAACTCTTAGGAACAGTTCTGAACAACTGATTTTGTTGGTGAACCTGAAGGAACAAACATTCTTTACCAGGACATATGAAAAGCGACCACAAGTGGACAGTAATGAACAAGCAAGGAAGGAATGGAAGATTAAAAATGGCTATTCTAGGGACTTCCCTGGTGGTCCAGTGGTTAAGATTCCACGCTCCCAACACAGTGGGCAGGGGTTCGATCCCTGGTCAGGCAACTAGAATCCCGCGTGCCGTAGCCAAAAAAAAAAAAAAAAAAAGGCTAACCTACAAATAGCAATCTGCATCTATCCCCCCCAAAAAAATCAAGTTTAAAGGGATTTATGAAAGAATTTAGTTCTAAATGAACTAAACATTAAAGGTTTTACTCAAATAGCTATATAAACGTTATTGTTTATCATAAGTAACATTGCTTTCCAAGTTCTGGTGGAATCAAGCGAAAGAGAAACTTGTGTTGTTGAAAACATGGTGGTAATGAGATAAAACATCATGTCTAGTGTTTTATTTAAAATTTAAATGCTGTTGCTAAGTTTTTAAAAGTCCTGATAAACCTGCAGATAAATTTATTTTCTAGCCACTGAAGGCTTAACCTATCGATAATATGAATTTTGGGGGAAAAAGATGGTCAAAACAAACATCGGTTTCTAGCTATGCACAATTATTTCAGTAGGAATCAGTCACTTAATTTGTAGAGCCCAACTAAGTATGGTTATAAAAATCTTCCAGTTTAAGCCTAAGCAATACAATAATATACTCAATCACTATACAAACAAGAACAGTACAGGACTCAGTATGCATGTGCAATGCAATCAGAACCCCATTAATTATCTATTAAATTTTTTTTTTGGCCACACTGCAGCATGCAGGACCTTAGTTCCCCAACCAAGGATCGAACCTGTTCTCCCTGCAGTGGAAGCACAGAGTCCTAACCACTGGACTGCCAGGGAATTCCCTCTATTAATTTCTTAATTACAGTCAAAGAAAAAAGAAATCCTAATAAGCTCAACCAACCAAGGCTTTATCTTCTACTGCTACCTTTATTTCAAGGTCTTATGCTAATAAAACACTTTACAGCAGTTAACACAATTTACTTGATTCTTTTAACATGTAAATAAAATATTCAGTTATTTATGACTAACTGGTTAGAGAATCTCTGCGATCAAATGGATCTTGCAGATCAGCCACGAGGTCCAATTACCTAGGTTTTTCAGAAGCAAAGCAGAGGCCTACAAAAGCTAATGAACAGAGGCAAGGTACACCCAACAATCTTTACTCACAGAATAGCCAATGGAAAGGACTGTGAAGTGTTACCCACCCTTTCCCTTATGTATTTTATTACTGGTATAGGTAAGTACTATAATATTTTCAGCAGTTATTGTAAAACATTTATGGATTTACAAACTGCAACATCATTATCAATTTTATTCTGAAGATAATAAGTATTACTATTAATTACTTCAGTTACTGAAAATGGCTCTTTCAACCCAGCCCTGACACTATGTCAGAAAAAGCTGCATAACGTATCAAGACTTAGAACTCTCAGTCCCAAAGTTACAAAAATTCAAATGATAGGGCTGCCTCTGTCGTTGAGAAATCAGTTCACTCAAAGATATAACATGGTAGGGCTTCCCTGGTGGCGCAGTGGTTGAGAGTCCGCCTGCCGATGCAGGGGACACGGGTTCGTGCCCCGGTCTGGGAAGATCCCACATGCCACGGAGCGGCTGGGCCTGTGAGCCGTGGCCACTGAGCCTGTGCTCCGCAGTGGGAGAGGCCACAACAGTGAGAGGCCCATGTACCACAAAAAACCCAAAAAAAAACAAAAAAACACATACACATGGTGACATTACAGAAAAATCAAGTTACTTACTATTTTGTTATTTATACAAAGCTTGACATCTAAATCTTCTTAAATTAAGATTAAAATTAAACTAATCTGGAACTGCTATGGTAACTGTGACCTCCTTAACGAAAAAGTTTCTCATTTTCAAGCCACCGTAAAATTTAGGACACTGAAGTATATTTCCAAAAATCATTTTTCTCTGTTCATGCCATTCTCCCTTCATTTAGCACAAAATCATTTCATTATGTCAATTTTAAAACAAAATATTTATTGCTACACTAAGATATTTTAAATGGTAGAAACTCCAAAGATAATAAGCCTAGAAATCACTTATCTAAGTAAAAAAAATTTTCTTGTTTCCAATTTGGAGATTAAGACTAACATAAGTACATTTAACTGTAGCAATCTTCAGGCAGGGAAGCAGTTCACTCTCACAAGACACCGCATTTATTAGAAAATGTGACATTATCTATAAGTGTGGTATTTTCTTAGTTTATACACATAAAGGCTATACCAGATGGATCAGAAATCTACAGCATTAGTGAAAATAAATAGGCTAAGTAACAAATACACAGTCATACCTAAATCTAGATTTTTTTAATTTTTTCTTGGTTATTGAGACAGGAGGTTTCTCAGAATAATGCAAACGTAATCTGATTTCAGTCTGACACGTCAGCCATCCAGAATCCAGAGTCTCAACACCATCTGGCAAAGTAAATATGAAGAACAGTAATTGATATACACATTTTTAAAGCCAATCCAATAAGTACAATATATACTGACAATTCTAGTTCACATTCACAGTTTAATATACTCAGGTTATCTATCACTGGTATTTCTCTCCAAAGCAAATATATAAGTAGTCTCACTTGTCATTGAAAAAGAACTTTTATATCAAGTAGGGGGGAAAAGTTAAATGAACATTAACAACTAGCCAAACTTTAGCACTAAGGTAAATTAAAATACTCTTGTTGAATATATTATTGAAGTAACACAAATCTATCTCAGAAAGAATACATATTCCAAGACTGCTTCTAACCTAGCATTTGTTCTACTGGCAGTGGATCACTACTACACTACCAAAGCTTCACATGAAACATTCAGCTGAAACTAGTTATTCCACTAGTGCTGGCAGTGGAGATATGAGGTGGTAATAACAAAACAAATGTATCCTCCATTTACATATTCTGCCATAGATAAACTGCATGATTGTGATAACACTGTTAGCACTGTTTAACTTGAAGTTTCTTACTAACAAAGGTAATAACATTTTCATAAATACCAGGGAGCTGACAACTGTTTTGGACCTAAGTTCTTCATCAAGAGAACTTCAAAAAAACATCAAGAAACTTTTCTCCTTAGGTGTATGATTTCATAACTATCAAATTTCATACATGAAGAGAAACCACTACCATCTCTTAATTTTAAACAGTTTTCAGAAATGGACAGAGTTGGAGAAATGGCCTTCTATCCCAAAGGCCAACTAAAGCTGAATTTAGGAAGATGATGACAACAGCAACAGATGACGAAAGAAATGCCATGTGTTTATAACCATGCATAGTAACTAACATATAATAGAAGGATATAATGTCATCATTACAGTTGAAGAAATGAGAAAACAATTTCTCCATTAAAAAAGCTCTCCAAAACATGTAGCATAAATTTTGTGTAGTCTCTAAAACACTAAATAAAACTATTCGAGTATGTTAGACTACCTTATGATGTGATATAAATAATCCCAAACAAAATCAAGAAAAATAAGTTAAATTCCTGCCCAAATACTGCAAAAGCATGTACATTTCTAAAGTGGATAAACATGTTCTTGGTAAAACCACAACCAAAACATTCAGGCCCTATTCCTTCCTGTACTCAACAGGAATGCAAACTGGTTATGAGCAATTATCTCTGGTTCACAGTCAATGCAAGCACACATTCTGTCCGCCCCCTTTACACCTTTTGACTCCTACAGTATAGTATCTAAAATGAAAATGCAGTTTAGCATAATGCTGATACACCGTGAGAATTCCAGTCATTGAAGAAAAAACTTGAATCCTTAGGATAAAGTATTTACTGATGCAGAAAGTATATGAATGCATATTCCACTGTAAATTAATTGTTTAAATACTCAGCCATAATTACTAGAACATTCTGCTACTTAATCTTGACTTTACTATAAATGCACATACAAACACAAAATGCACAAACGTAGCTTATGAGTAACATTTCACACTTCAAATGTTGAGAACAATTAACATCATTTCCAAACACAGTAGTGTTAAGTGATGATATAGTAACAGTTAAGTACAATACTTTTAAATTGATTATATTAATTCATATACCGAAAGTCAACAGCCAAATAAAAACTAAAAAATAAATAAAATTTTAAGGCATAAGAAGTATACTGGAGGGAATTCCCTGGCGGTCCAGCGGTTAGGACTCTGCGCTTCCACTGCAGGGGGTGTGGGTTCAATCCCCCTGGTTCGGGAACTAAGATCCCACAAGCCACGTGGCATGGCCCAAAATAATAATAATACTGGAAACTATTATTTAACAGAATGCATTTGTTTTTTGGATCTAGTCTTCTAGATTCTATTTTCAATATCATACTGTCATATTTCCCTGTGCTGTTTCTAATGAAATGTAAGGTAACATCTCAATCATGTGAATAAAAATTTTCAAAACTCAGTCTCACTTACTGTGGATTCCAAATTGTCCATCATCAATAATAATTTCACTTTCTAAAATTGAAGGAAAATAGAAAATCTAGTTAAAATTCATGATGTATATACAGAATGAACAATTGAGAAATTACCTATCTTAAGGATTTTTTAAAAAATTAATTTAGAATTTAAAAGCAGCCCAAAGTGAATAAGCATATTTATTGTAGCCCTCAATAAAGAAATCCCTTTTAAGGAGGCTATCAAACAGTAATGGTTCTTATATTCACGGTGATTATTCACAATGTTGTAAGGAAGAGAAAGAAAACTCCTCAGAGGGGTGCTCTAGAGGCACTGGGACAAATGTTTATACCAACCAATGCATGAGACTGACAAGCTGCTGGACAACAATATCTCCTGGTTGATTTTTCAAACCAAAGGTCTTGGCACAATTAAAATGCTTATTCTTACGTAGTGCGTATTCTGAACTTACCTAAAATATAATGCTCCTCAAACCCCAACTATTCTCAATAGCCAGCTAAAATCTTTTTAAACAGCATAAACTTACCTGTATATATAGAGCTATGAGGAATTACCAAAAAGTGTTTGCACATTGCCTCCTAACAGAAATTTCAACTAAATGAAAAAAGCTGTTAAGCCCCACCCTCTGAGTAAAATACTAATTAACTTCCCTGCTATTTCCTTTCCCAGTTTACTTTAAACATAAACCTGAATTTGTTAAAATAAGTGTGACAGTTCCCAATAAAGATTCTCTGGTATATTTCACGCAGCTCTTAAGTTCAGAAGTTTTATTTTCCAAAAGTATAAAATACATTTATTAAAAAGACCAGAAACAAAATCATCCTACTTTCTCAAAATAAGAAAATATATTTAACTGCAAGATGCTTCAAAATGCAATTTTTAAAATATTCAATTCCTAGTAATTTCCAACCTCAGTATGGCACTCTTTTAATTCTAAAGTACACTACACAAAAATTCTAAATATACTATCAAAAATGTATTACAAAAATGTATATACAAAAAGAAAATCCAATAAAGAGGATGGAATGAGATAGCTGTTTAAATGAGATGTGTCCTTGCTATATATAGGGTAAAGCAGAATCTCTCACTACTTTCTAATCTAAGCCATTTATTCTTTAAATTCTAATTTAAATTCTAATTTTCTCTGGAAACTAAAATAGAGTTTTCAGCACTAAGTCAATTTATAGATGAAACCAAGTAGGTAATTTAATGTATGTGAAAAGAACTTCAAATTTTAATCTCAGTATGGAAAAGGAAATTCAAAAATACTTGTATGAAGAGAAATGCCAATTTTAGGCACAAGAAAACTAAATAATGTTTAAACAAACAAACAAACAAAAATTATCTGAATAGCAACTTTAACATAGCCAGCAGGGTATTGGGGGAAAATGTCTGCTACAACCAAGAAATCTGAATTCATTCATACAAGTTTATTCAAGTATTTACTAGTTTAAAAAACACACACAAATAGAGTAACTTATTCTATTACTATTCAAAGTTAAAAATGTAAGAATCATTGTTTTGGATTAATTCTTTCCTCAAATGTTCTAAGTTCTCTGAGCAAGTAATATCAAAGCCACGGATGGATGCTCAGTTAAAAAAAAAGCTATTTTATAAACTTTTGTAACTACTCCAAATGTAAACATATATTCCACCATAAACCCATCTAATTCAAGAAATTAAAAATAACTAGGCAAGCATTTCTAATAAAGTTTATGAAGAAACGCAATTAAGAACTGTTTAGTTTTGAAAGACCCATGATATGCTCAGTGAAACTTGTAGTACTGACAATGCATTGACCTTAAACTTTAAAATAAATATTTAAATCCCACTAAGCCATTGTGCAGCATATTAGTAACTTTATGCATATGCCTCAAACAGATGCAGTTAATGCCCATACCTAAAGGGGTTATTGATCGTGGTTGTAGATGAGTCTCCCACTTGTGAACTATGACTTGACATGGACCACCGATAGTCTGCAATTTAAAAGTTAAACGTCTGCAATAATTTCTTGTATCTTATTTTCTACCCATGACGCCATTAGATGTTTGTGGCCTAAGTCTTATACTAATTATGAAACCAAGAGATTCATCTTGTTAATATCAATATTATATGCGAAAAATCAGGAATGTACCAGGTCAAAAAACATGATGAATGCTGGAAGAAAATGAGGGTGAGGCAGTAAACAAAAATAAGATGAACTGGCAAATAAAACCATTTTAAACCCATTCTTAAATCTGCCTACAATACTCAGTTTTAATCTTTAACTGATACTCTGTTGTAAGTTAAAGTTAACAGCAAATATACTTTATGTTGGTATGTTGGAAGTCAATGAAGTATTACTGGAAAATTGAAGTAACTCCTCAAGTGTTCGGAAAAAGCCTAAACTCTCTGATAGTAGAAATACTGAGAACGAATACTTCAAGACCAATTATCACAAGTTACTCAAGGAACTAGAGGGCATAATAAAGTTCTTCATTACATATATTTAACTAGTAAGTAGGTAACAGGAAGAATATCAGATTCTCATATCTTAGTAACCAGTGTTTCTAAGGAGCACAGGAAGCCCTTTCCTTTAGGAAAGGACACATGCATGGGTAAATCTGAAGAACAAGTTTGATTAAAGGGGAATGAACATCCAGTTTTACTCTTACTGCCTTAAAGTTTATAAATTCATACAGTGTGAAAAATTTTAATACTGTCTTCTGTTATCAAATTCTCTTACTAAAAAAGAAAATAAAGCTTTATGTATTGTTGATAATGTCTACAGCAATTTAAAAGCAAGAATGAACTACCACAAGGATTCTCTTGTGTGTTCCTAAAATACTGAAGTATATGAAGTGTTTCCTAATTTTCCTTGAAGTATTTAAAATAAAACAAAAAACCCTACACTTGTCTAATTAAACTTATGTGCCAAAATACAATCCTTAAATACATATTTTAAAAGAAAATTTTCAAACTATATCCTTACAAGGTATTTTTTTTCTTCTTCTGAAGAAATTTAGTAAAATACAGAGAAGCAAAAAGAAACAAAAATCACCCATTATCACACTACATAGGGAAAATCACTATCAATATTTTCACGTATCTTTAAACCCTTGTCTAGGCATATATATACTCTTAAGTCTGGAACATATAAGCTTCTCTCTTTATTACATCTGTAGATGACATTAAATACTCTTCTATAACATTTTATAGGATTTCAATATTGATTTTATTTAATAATAAATGTGCCAAATGATAACAAATAAGTATGTAACAAATTAGGCAAGAGATAATTCTGTCATTTAAAATAACCAGAGGTTAAAATCTTTTTTTAAAACTTGCAAATTTTGAAGTTTGAAAACTAAAATTGCATTAGATATACATTCAATTCCTTAATCCTGGGATAATACAGGAACTCATTTTCTCTAGCTGAATACATCCTTGTTATAAGGGTTCACTTGTGAATTGATAATAAACTGTGTAGACGTTCTTAAAAATGTAAATGTGAAAGTGCTAATCTTAAAATATGGTGAATTACACTAAAAAAACAAGAAACATCTGATCCTGCATCTGCTAGATGTTTTTTACTACAACTTTTTGCTGTCACTTTTTTGAATTTGTTTTCACACATCAAACTTTCTAACCCTCAAAAGATGCAAATGTATACAATAAAAATAGGAATGTTTCTTAGCAATGATGGGCAACCAGAAATAACTAATCTATTCCCTTCTTCCACCCCTCCCATGTCCCCTGCACTCCCCTCACAAAAAAAAAATCCTCTTTGCTACAAAAGTGGTGTAGATCCATATTCCTATAAAAGTTACTAATCAAATGTGACTTGAAAGGGTGCCATGAACATAATAGTAAATATCAGCAGGGATTAAAAGTGGGAAGAAGAAAGGAGAGACTTTGTTTTTGTTTTAATTTTTTGTTTTAATTCAGGTATCAGGGGAATTTCACAAAAAGTGTTGATTACAGTATCTATACTTAATCATGTAAGAATAGTCCTGTGGATTAAACACTTGAGAGGGAACATATTTTAGCAGTAATTTTTAAAACTCCACTCCTGTTTACAAACCCACTAATCATAGCATAAAGCAAACTAGGCTTGAACAGAATGGAGTCTCGAGGAGCAGTCCAAAGAGCCAATTCAACAGATGGCTTACTGGCGTTCACACTACAAATTCATGGTTGGTACATAAAATGTTATAATACTGACAAATGAACCAAGTTTTAAAACACACTGAATTTCCAAAATTGTTATGACTACTTTATTAAACTTTAGTAGGTAATCTTAAATTTTAGCTTACCAATGTTCTTTAAAACAAAAAAAACCTTAACACCTGAGCACTGGGAAATTAAAGATCTTAGCAACGATTCCAAAACATGCAATCCTTTTTAATATGCTAAATGCAGTAAGCCATTCTTCAAGATCTTAGGAAAAGAAACAAGAGTTCCATTCTGTAAAAGACTGCCACAATTTTAAGCACTTTGGAGTCAAGCGGAAAATGGCTCTTTGGAGACAAAAGTAACAATATCAGTCCAAGACAGTACTCCACTAACAGGACTGGTACAGTTATTTCACATTTTAGCATGTATTAAATCAGAAGACTGCTGGAATGTTTCTCAAACATGCATGTTAACAAAAATACAAAAAACGTGTTTCTGCAAAAAAGTCATAATGACTGCTTTCTTAAACAGTTATTGATTGACATCACTCAGCTATATCAAGCACTGAGAAAAAGAAACAAGATTATATAAGAGGTAGGGTTTTTAACAGACCACCAAGCAAAACTATCACTATCATGGAATATCACTGCTTTCAAATATCATAAAAACTGTTAAGCCTAAACTGTAAAAATTTCACTGTTTCCTTTCTACGATTTTGAAAAAAATGGAAAAAAAAAGTCCATGTGAAAGGGGCTCTGAATATTTAATCTATGTCAGAGGCCAGAACCAGTTAGTTAAAAATCACTATTTTTAACACTACCAGGAAGAAAAACGGTCACTTAGGAGTGAGTAAAGCAAAGAAGGCTAGGCCGACATACATCTCTGAGATGGTTCAAATTCACAGTTAACAGCTGAGGGTATTTAGCATCCAGAAGAATTTTACTAACAAACCACTGTACAAAATGACAACCTGGGCTATTATGAAAATAAACAATTGTCTGCCTACCAGATGACTGATTCTTTTGTTAAAGGATTTAAATAAAAATCAAGGGACATTAAGAACAAGGTAAAAGAATTTGTAATGAATCTAATTATGAGTAAATGTTAACACCTGTAAAAATTAAAAGCAGGTGTTACTGAAAAATAAACTATTTCACTGAAATGAAATATTTCAAAGACAATATAATTAAAAAGTGGCTAACATCTCAGTATGAGAGAACAATCCCTAATTCCAGCCACAAATAAAAAGGGGTGAACATGGATTAAAAAATATTTAAATTACACATTAATTCAAAAATTATCTTTGGTGAAGATGTGAAATTAATGGGTTATCTGCAGACTAACAGCAATGTTTCCATTCCAGGAATATCTACTACTTTTGTTTGCTATGTTTCAATAAGATAATATTTGTCACCTGTAAAAAATTATTTTAGAATTTAATATATTAAGACCTTATTCTAATTCTACAAAGCATAAGAACATACAGCTGTGAGAAATTAAAGAGAAAAAGGACTTCAAGAGTCTTTAACGTCTAAACTAAAAGGAATATGCCAGAAAGAGCAAATTACGGAAGAGAAATTATGAATGGTAAAATTTTATTTACAGAAAAATTTTAGCAATGGAAGGGATGTAAGAAATCTATAGTTCAAACCCTTCATTTTATAGATGAGGAAGCTGAATTCTGAAGGTCAAGTGACAAGATCAGAAGATTTTTAGCTTAGGTTCTACAACTGCTTGGATAACCTAAAACTTTTGACCCAGTAAAATTAACCTTATTACCCATTTCAGTTTTTCAATGCTTTCATAATCATTTTGCTTTCCAATCATTCTTTATATTCATAAAATATATACTCCAATAACTTACATCATTTCACGATTTAAGATTCCTTGCACATTAGTTCTATCATTTGACAATGCACAATTGAGACAAAGTTTCTAATTACTTCTAGTAAAAATTATGATTCATTTAAAAAGCGCCACCAACTTTAAAAAGAAGTGTCACTTTAAGCTGGCGTGTGGGGAAAAAAAAACCCTCTAGCCATATGCATGGGATTTTATGTGGCTATTTACTCTATTCCATGAAAAACATACTTACCATGGCAGCCCCTGCATCACACGGTACATGTGTACACGATACAGAGCACCTACTTAAAGAAACACACTCACCAACACATACTGTAAACTTTTGCAAGTATTACAAGGGGAAAAACTTGTTTCTTACTGTAAGCAGACGTCGTGCCAATTTTTTTGAAAAGGCATTTTGGAAGGACTTGCTGCTTTTGGTTACATTTTCAATGAAAAGAGAAAATACTGTAGGTTGGCTTAATTTGACCTGTGTTGACAATAGTCTCACTTTAGGAAACTACGCCCAAAGGACTCATTATGATTTTTCTTGTCCAAATGCCCCCGTAAGTAAAATTTAGTTAATTTCACATACCAGGATCCTCAAATATGCTTTCAAAGTCACGAGTGCTATGATCTACATAACTCTGCACAAATGTTCACTTTATACTAAAGAACTTTGCCACAATGCACAACCCCTATGCCAAATAAATAATCTTTTCCTTAGTCATTAAAGTGAGACTATTGTCAAGATAAGCCAACATAATGATCAACTGTAATGTAATTTAATTTTAATTACTGAGTATATTCACAATATATTCTTGGAATAAGAAACGTAATAGGTGCAAAAGACAGCTGAAGTGGGTTTGTCAGTTTTTCTCTTTTTTATAATGGTGGCTAAGAGACTGAGGTAACAGTGGCTGCTTGCTTTCTTTTTTCTTTTACATGTAACAAGTATTCAAGGACCCCAAAGGGAAATAAATTTTTAAAAAGATCTAATCCATGTTTGCTTCCTCGACTCCTGCCTAAGCCCTTGTTCACATGCAGCCCAAAGTGTGCTCAAAGGTAAAAATCTGAAGGAAAAGAATCCTTTCAGCAAATAAGTATCTTTAAAATAAAGAATCAACTTTCTTTTCTAAACATGAAAATGTTCCCAAAATAATAAATAAATCATTGTGAGCAAGCAGATTTAGATCTAACTGATATTCCAAAGGCCTTCAGAAAAGATCCTGGTCTATCAACACTATCAGTGAAAAAAATCTAAAAGGAATGACTTCAGTTTTGATAGGAGTTAATGCAGCCACTAAGAGATGGCTGCGTTGAAATAATTTTTTCAAAGTTACTCACTTAAAGCTAGCTGTATACACCTCTAAATATATCTTTACCACAGATGAATTAAAAAAATAAACAAAAAGAAAAACCCTTACTACTGGTTACTAACTAGTTTACAAAAGTTATAGAAAATGCACACCTATCAAGAACACTTATCATTAAAACCAATTTCATGATAAGAATATTGCAGAACATACTTACTATTAGTCTTTTAAAAATTCCACTGCACACACTATTTGCCTTTGAAGAGGCTACTTCCTTTCTTTTTGGTACTAAAATATTATTAATCTAGAGTTCTTTTTTCCTTATTTGTTCTAAACAAACTCATTTTACTTTTAATGTTTCCAAACTTAAGTTAGTTGCTTTTGAAAGAAGTCTTCTAGAGAAACTGGAAACTAGATAAAGAAAACATACCTTTGGTTCTAAAAAGCACCCTTTGAAGTAGCGGTACTGAACTGATACTCCTCTACTAAGTACAATGGTTGCTTTCCATAACATGCTGTGAGAAAAAAGAATTAAAGCAGCAGCATCAGTATCAAACTAAAATGCATAAAGTCTTCATTAATTCATAAAACCCCTCAAGTAAGGTCTGTGATCAATACCATTTATTTATTCCTACACAAAATTTTACTCCAGGCCTAATCTGAACCAGGTACTAGGAACACAGTGATGAATAAGGCAGAAAGAGCTCCATCTTCAAGGAGATTGCTTGCTTATGTTGATTAACAAATATATAAGCAAACAGCATACATAGGAAGGGCCAGCTGACCTTTCTGAGGTGACAAGAAGTTTTGGAGGGAGATCTCAACAAGAAAGAACTGTCTGAGCTGAGACCTAAATGATGAGCCATACAAAGAAGCAGGAGAAGTAGTATTCCTAACAGAAAAGGCAAGCAGTGCAGACCTCTGAATCTCCTCTCACTTTCCACTTAGCTAGGGATGTTACATGGCTGCTAAGAGGCTTTGAGGCCAAGGTCACAAACTTAAATGCCTGTTCCCAACTGTCCCTTATTCTGTCCTGCCCAGCCTCTGGCTATTTCCCTAGCCAAGCAATCAGTGTCTGTATCTCACTTGTACTTGTATCTTACTCAACGTCTTCCTCTGAACTATGTCATTCTACATATTCTAATGCTAATTCTAAAGCTTAGACTCAACAGTGAAAGAATTCACTACAATTCATGATTATAACTGATTTTTAGCTTCAAATCATAGGCCAATGTTATTCAAAGTGTGGTCCCAGGACCATCAGTATCAACTGGGAGCTTGTTAGAAATACAAAATCTCAGGCCAGGGCTTCCCTGGTTGCGCAGGGGTTAAGAATCCGCCTACCAATGCAGGGGACACGGGTTCGAGCCCTGGTCCGGGAAGATCCCACATGCCGCGAAACAACTAAGCCCATGTGCCACAACTACTGAGCCTGCATGCCACAACTACTGAAGCTCACGCACCTAGAGCCCGTGCTCCACAAGAGAAGCCACCACAATAAGAAGCCTGCGCACCGCAACAAAGAGTAGCTCCCGCGCAATGCAACTAAAGAAAGCCTGCATGCAGCAACGAAAACCTAATACAGCCAAAAAAAAAAAAAAAAAAAAATCTCACGCCACATCTAGACCTATTGAATTAGAAACTCTGGGGGACGGCCCAAGCACTCTGTAATTTAACAAGTGTCCAGGTGACTCTGATGATGAACACAAGTTTGAGAGCCCATGTCATAGACCATTACTCAAACATTAATTCAGCATGAATAGTTCAGTGACTAAACGGCAGCTCCAAATATTCTTCCATGATACCAGATGGCTAGCACTGCTCCCCACCTGGCTCTGCCAAGACAGACTTAGGGCATTATCCTCACTCTGACTCAATTCTGGTTTCTAACAAAATATCCACAACCAGCTGTCACCCCTGGTCCTAGCTTCAACAATCAGATTAACCTGGTAATAATAAAATACATATGCCCTGGCTCCACCCTGGGAAACTCTGGTTTCATAGGTCTGGGGTGGAGCTTTGTCTCGTGGAGTTTGATAAACTGGACATATGTGATTGGTTGAGAAACACTGCTGCACAACAAGGACAGCCTAAATGCTTGGAACATGTGCCCTGACTACTTCTCCCTGATAAGCCTCAGAATCCTTTTCAACACAGGGCTCCAGGCAGATTCTACCAACTCTGAGATGAAATTTATTTGCCATCTCTGCTACCCAAAAAGAAAAAGGCAAATTTCCAGTATTGTTTCACCCATAAAACCAGCCAGAGTATGTGAAACTAGCCCCAGATGTGCACAGTAGAATTAGTGGGAAGCTTTAAAAATGTGCTGGGGCCCCTCTCTCGTGCACTATTTATCAATCTTATAGGAGCAGGGTCTCGGCATTTTTTTAAAAAAACCCTTTTAAAGTGCTTTAAACCAGTTAAAGTGCTTTTTAAATCATTTTTGAAAGTGATTCCAATGTGCTCCCCTGGTTAAGAACCACCAAATGAAAAGATCAGATGGTGAGAGCAATAAAATGAGTCTTTTTACTTTAATTCCCTAAGCAAATACAGCAAAGTTATAAATGCACCAGAGGGACTTCCCTGGTGGACCAGTGGTTAAGAATCCGCCTGCCAATGCAGGGGACACGGGTTTGATCCCTGGTCCGGGAAGACCCCACGTGCTGTGGAGCAACTAAGCCTGTGCACCACAATTACTGAGCCTGCGCTCTAGAGCCCGTGAGACACAACGGCTGAGCCCACGGGCCTACAGCCCGCACTCCACAACAAGAGAAGCCATCACACCACAACAAAGAGTAGCCCCGGCTCAGCGCAACTAGAGAGAAAGCCCAAGTGTAGCAACAAAGACCCAACACAGTCATGAATGAATGAATGAATAAATAAATAAAATTACTTAAAAAAAAAATGTACCAGAACTGTTCAGTGACGTCAAGAATGAACGTAACCTGATGAAACTCAAGAAAAACCAGGAAAGAGGGGCAGTGAGAAGGTTTAGTGCACCTGTCTGATTTTGAATTGCCCTAATATCCTCCCCACAAAAATACCATGAAATCTCCAAGGAGGGCAAATAAAATCATAAGTGACCCACATTTTCTGCATTATTAGGAAATAACACCACAACCTTCAAATTGTTTGTAAGAAAAAAATTCCAACAGAGCTCTTGTCACCACAAACCTGTAGGTACAGAGAGACTTAAGAGACTGAAAAGGAGGAACAGAGGACCTAAATGCAGAGTACACTGAAATCCCAAAGAAACACAGTTCTAAAACACAAGACTGGGGAATTTCCTGGTGGTCCAGTGGTTAGGACTCTGAGCTTCCACTGCAGTGGGAAGGGTTCAATCCCTAGTCCGGGAACTAAGATCCAGAACGCTGTCAAAAACAAACCAACCAACCAAAAACCCCCACGAGACTGTTGTTTACAGGGAAACAGATTTGTTTACCTTTTGTATCATCTTGTATCAACTACTTATATCAACTGTGTCATCTACTTCCTTTCTCTTTGTGAAGCACTGTTTATCTGCCATATATGAATCAATTATACTTCACTGTACAGCGATGTCAAAATGGCTGCTTCCTTAAAATTAAGAAGTTAACTGTTCTCATTCTGTTCACATCACTTTGACCAGGTTGGCTAGAATGGACTTAAGACAGGTAACAGGGCAGCTCAAGAGTTCAGAGCAGAGGTAAACAAGTTTAGAAAGACATGAGGTTTCACTTCAGACGGGAGTGACTAATCCACAAATCAAGGAAAAAACAGGCACTAGAAGAGAATAAACATCTCGTTTTTCTGTGATCCCAATATCATTTGTCAACAGAACTTATAAAAACAGAAGAGAATTGGCTGAGAAAATGTGTCACACTAATGACAAACAGAGAAACGGGTGTTCTATGTATGTTTTTTGTTTTCTTTTCCTGAGCTTACATTATGGTATTGTTTTACTTTCCTTGTTATTTCCCTCTGCTTTGCCATCAGTGCTCCTCAAACTGTCTGCTGTGAAGGACCAGTTTCTGTTTACTTGTGTTACCCTACTTGTCCCATGACCAATACTTCTGGTCTATGATGTACCCAGTTCAATGAGATGTCCATGACATGCATGGGTATCCCAGCAATGTCAAACTGTCATAAACATTTCTAAATGCTTGCTCTCAATCTTCGTATTTCTCACATCGTGCACTGATAAAAAAATGTTTTTTGTCTAGCACTGAGTCTACAGGCCACATTTTTAGTAGCACTGCTTAACAATCATCTAATCTGATGTTTCTCCCTGGGGGCACTGCATGTATTTGTATACTATTTAGAATCTCCTCATCTTTCCTTTACCCCCACACATACATCTTGACAATCCGTAACACTTCAAAATATCCATACAGAGAAGGACCACCTTTGTTGACAACACTGATTCTATCCTAACCCCTTTACCATGCAGATAAAGGAAGCAAGGCTTAGAGATATGAGATCTGCCCAAGATCACAGCTAACTGCAGAACTGAAACTGGCACCCAGATCCTCCTTTCCCCACTCCAATGCACCAACACACCCATGCTAAGTGTAGTGCTGTATTTAACGTCAGTAGTAAACTTATTTCATTACATTAGCTAAAATTTCTAAGGATGTGTTCCACTCTCTGCTACTTTTAAAAGAATATATGCCTCAAGAAAATTATTTCATAAGCTAAAGCAAAAATTAGATCTTTTATCAAGAATAGTACTGAGAAGCCAAATAATGCCTTAAATTTTTTTTTTAAATAAGAAATAACAATATAATCCTGTTTAGAAATATGGTATTAAGCATCAAAAGAACCAGCCAACAGCCAAGAGTTGAAAATGACTTTTTGCAAGGTGGAAATTGAGAAACAGAGGAACTTGTTTTTTCACAGCAAACTCTGTAAAATGACTTCACTCTTTATACATATGTGATAAGTTTGATAAAAATTAAAAGAAAAATATACCAAGGTATCTTAAAAACCCCCAAGTTTATAATCTGAATGTCACAATTATTCAGTATTATGACATGCCCATGCTTACCTTTCACCTGTCTCATTCTCTGGAAGAAGAGCCACAGCATTTTGAGGATTCCAGTTTCCCAAAGCATCAGAGCTTCCACATATTGCAAAAACCTCTCCTAAAGAAACATAAGGAGTTATAGTGGGTTAAATAGGAACATCTCATTTTAGTTTTAGGAAACTGCACTAATTTAACGGGATGCAGAGTCCCTTTCAGTGGAGATGGAAGAGCTTCAGTGGAGAAATGGGTTTGGACCCAGGTGCCACTCACACTAGCACCTACGTTATTAACCTGACACACCTCTACAAAACCAAAGGCAGAGAAAAGGAAGGATGTACAGGGACAGACTTTTCTTCATTTTTCAACTACTTACTGAGCCAATAATGAGCACCAAGAAGACAAGGTGATCAAATGGCAGTCCTTGCCTTCAAGGCAGCTTCCAACTTAAAGGAGCATATAAGTATCCTACAGAACCAGTACCTGATATTTTCCAGGAACTCAAAACAGTAGCTACTAAGAAGTTAAAGATCAAGAAAATTATCAATGGGATATGAGCAATGTAACAACAACAAACAAAGAAAAAGAAGTCCCCAGAACAAAGACTAGTGAAAAACTAGACAAAAATCTCGTATTCCTTACTAAAATAAAGACTATCACACTTCATCTGAACACTTGTCATCAACACACAAACCAACATATAGTCATCACCTATATCTGCTAAATTCCATATATTTAGCAAAAGTCTACAACTTCTTGAATATAAGTATGCAGATATCTTTAACTTATATATCAACACATTCTGAATTACTATAATTAACATCCATAAAGAAAAAAACAAGGAACTGAGCCCAAGTGAACAAACTTCAGGACAAACTCCTCCACACTCTGAGAGTAGCTTGGTTTTCAAGCTCTGGGCACTACTATAGTAAGACTAGAGTTCTAATTGGCTTTAGCCACCTGCATGGCATTTTATGTGCTTGGACTGTCTAAAACTTAACTAAAATCCCAAATGTGGTAGTCATTCACGAGTTTTCAGGGTTCTAAACACATGTCTGTAAAAGCATAAGGTGGTTATGTATAAAGATTTCATGTTAAAATATTCACCAATCCTTTAAAGTAACCAGATTTTTTTTTGCAATTAACTTAGGTTATCACTACCTCTTCTCATTAAAAAAAAAAAAAAGGTAAACACTCTTGCTAAATACAAGGCACAAATATTTATTCTCAAGATCATATATGTTGCTTTGCATATGTACAGCATATGCAGTGGCTCCTAGCTCAAAGTACAGATTACCATCAAATCACTGATTCAGGCCGGTTACACTTCCTTTGTAAAGGAGAGTCTCATTAACCTTCCTCAGGGAGTCAGTTATTTCTTATCCCCATACAAAACAGCAGCTACTCTCTGCTCTGGAAAATATGTATCCCACATGGAAAAAGTGAAACTTGGACAATCTGTGGTTACTTTCCTTCTATATAAGTGCTCCTGCATTTTACCAATTCCCTCCTGCAATGTTACTCTGTCTTTCTGCTGATTGCCTTTGAATATGGCTTCTATGAGGAAAAAAGGGAAACTTTTTACCAGAACAGACCTATTTCTTTAATTGGATTTCATTTATAGAAGATTATAAAGACCTGAATGCTAACTAAAGGAATCTGCAAATAGCACCCCCACATATTCTTTTTACTTGTTCCCTCTTACTTCACTTCTCTCTGCAGTCTTTCCACTTTCAGCAGAGAACACTTCCTCCTTGCTTTGGGGAGGAAATCAAGGTGACATGAGATCTGGGGGGGAGGTGAGAATCCACCCCAACATCCCCTCCCTGTCCCTCTACCTCCCTTCCTTCCCACCTACATTCACATCTGCCACTAGTCCTTGAGAAGGAGTTGCACCTTGTCAAGCTGACCCTTCTGTGGCTAATTCTGTGGTCACCACATTTGCCTGATGTGGCCAGCTCCTTCTAGCTTAAACTGCCTATGCACAAAAGTATGATATAGGTCTGCAGTCTTCTCTCCACAGAAGAGGTTACACACAGGTCAAGAGGTGAGTACTAGACCCAAGGAAGCAACCCCATCAACTGACTAGCAATCTTCAATCTGCAGAATCTTGCCTAGAGGTGGAGCTGTACAAAATCATCTTGGCTAAGAATCTGAACTTGGACAAACACACACCGTAAGGAGCTGTGATGGATGCTGTATCAAAGATGCCTGACATACAGAATGAATCATTCATTCATTGTTCGAACACATACTTACCCCTGCTCTGAGCCAGGCACTGTGCTAGGTACAGGAATTCAGCATGAATAAGATAAAGTCACATTTTTTTTCATAGAGCTTACAATCTGTCCACAAGAAAAATTACTCATATGACTCCATAAAACTCATAAGAGGTACTACAAAAAAGAACCTTGAATTTCACAGGGACCTTAACCTAGTTGAGTACGGGAAGTTGGGATAAGGAGAGTTAGGGGGGTGGCGGGTGGGGGCACAGATCTAAACAAAGGAAACAATTTGAGAAAGCCCCAAAGGAGGAAAGGAATGCAAAAGGTTTGAGGAACTGGCCAGCATAGCCAGAGTGTATTAAACAAGGAATTTTTAACCCAGGTGTGATACTGTTTGTTTTTTTTTTGTTTTTTGGGCCGCACTGTACGGCATGTGGGATCTTCGTTCCCCAACCAGGGATCGAACCTGTGTCCCCTGCAGCAGAAGGAAGGAGTCTTAACCAGGTAAGTAGCAAGGTGTGATACTGTTTTGACATGCTACCTTACACTAAAATTATTTCACACTGCTTCAGTAGACAGCAAAAAATACAGTAAAGCTTAAAAAAATAGATGTACAAGTAAGGAACAAATTTACCTTCGCCAAATATTTCACCAACTCCTCAACACTAGAAAAATTTCCTTCATTTTCATGACTTAAAAATCATAGTTCAGAGAATTCCCTGGTGGTCCAGTGGTTAAGACTCCACGCTCTCACTGCTGAGGGCCCAGGTTCAATTCCTAGTCGGGGAACTAAGATACCACAAGCTGCGCAGTACAGCCAAAAAACAAACAAAAAAATTACATTTCAATTATCTGTCCTGTTCAAAATTCACAGCTTTCCTGGAAAACATGAGACTAAGACACTTACTATTTGGGAAGCTTTTTTTTTTCTTGAATTTGTTATGCTCCGAGCACATTTCTGTTATCAGGCATGTCCTAAAGATACTTTCATCTAATAATTAGGCTCACTCTAGTAACAACTCTATATTTCAGATAATCCAGATAAGAAAAACACTCATTTTTTTTTTTTTAAATGTTTAAAAGTAAAGTTTTACAATACCTGGTAAAAGAGCTCCTCTTATTTCAAAGGTAACCTGAGAAGGTGTCATTCTGATGGATTTATTTTAGGATGTCGTGCTAGAAAGAAAAAGATGTCATTTATAGTACATGAATATCAGCTCTAGATAGCTACCACCAAGAAACAAGTTAAAAAACACAAAAACAAAAATGAATCTCAACTGTGAGCAAAAGATTTCAGAGACCTTATATACAGAGACTGAATTATTTAGGAAGTACCTAGCAAGTTTTAGGACCTAGCATTACAAACCTATTCTGTAAGAATGTATGGACCAGAAAAATCTGCAAAACAAGTGTGTCCAAACTTTTTTTAAGAATTCAAGATTATCTTGTCATATACCTTCTCCTCTAATAAGTAGCTGTTCTGAACTCAACCTATCTTTCCTGACCAGGCTCATGTTTATAGTGGAGGGAAACACACACACCAACAACTAGAGACAGAAAAAAACTTGGCTCAAGAGAGCATTTCTACTTTAATTAAGAAGGTTCCAATTTTAATAACAAGAAAACAACCAAAGAACTTAAGTACCACCCACTGAAACAAACTAGTTAAGTTCTGAAACAAGTTTGAGAACCTGCTTCTAAGTGACCTAAACAATGGCTTAAAAAAAACAATAACAAAAACCCCTTTCCCCTCACAAATCACTCTTTCCAAGTTTCTCTTTATTAACCACAGGCTCATCATTACTGTAGTTCTGCAGACTTGAATTTAGTCTCAACTCTGCAATCTATTGGGTTGGCCAAAAAGTTCGTTCGGTTTTAGTTAGCCATTTTTTTTTTAATGTATTTATTTTTGGCTGCATTGGGTCTTCATTGCTGCCGGCAAGCTTTCTCTAGTTGCTGGGAGCGGGGGCTACTCTTCACTGCAGTGTGCAGGCTTCTCACTGCGGTGGCTTCTCTTGTTGCGAAGCACGGGCTCTAGGCGTGCGGGCTTCAGTAGTTGTGGCTCAGAGGTTCTAGAGCGCAGGCTCAGTAGTTGTAGCACACAGGCTTAGTTGCTCTGCGGCATGTAGGATCTTCCCAGACCAGGGCTCGAACCCATGTCCCCCGCATTGGCAGGCGGATTCTTAACCACTACGCCAGCAGGAAGTCTGCCATTTTTCATTTTCACCAAGAACTTTACTGAACAACATATTCATTAACCAAACGAACTTTTATCCCAGTCAACATTACCAAATCCTGTAGACTTTAAATGATCTTACATACATGCCTTTCTTTCTAAGTTTAAACTTCATTAAAAACCCTAAGTCTCCTACTTATATTTTGGCTTCTCTATCGCTTCCCAACAATACATTTTATGTCAATTAGAATATCCCTCACATCCCTGGCTTGGAATCACTTCCATTACTTATAGAAATCTAAATCCCGAAGTCTTTGATGTCCTTTATTCCTTATCCACATTTTCTCTCCAGCTTACTTTTCATTTCTTCACTGTTTTTCCCAGCCTAACCAACCTATTCATCTTACTATCCCTTAATTTAAGTACTTAAAAAAAGATAGGAAATTTAAAATTGTTTTTAGTTTTATTTATTTATTTATTTATTTATTTATTTATTTTTGGCCACGGCACGCAGGAACTTAGTTCTCCGACCAGGGATGGAACCCCATGCCCCCTGCAGTGGAAGCACGGAGTCCTAACCACTAAGTCCCAAGATAGGAATTTTTTTTTAAAAATTAATGTACATCAATTCTCATGCAGTTTATAGAATTTAAATACAGAAAGAATACATACTCCACACAAGGCCACATACTGTACATAACTTCTCCAACACCTCCAAAAAAACTTTCATACCCCCAATCCATCAATGTTCCTAAAATAATTCCAATGATGTCTTTACATCATTTCCTTTAATTTACCAACTGAAATTGCTTATCTTCATTTACACATTATTTTATTCAAAAAGAAATCCTCAAGTACCTTTCCTATCTATTCTTTCTTCCATTTTCGCTATGTTCCCCTCCCTGTGAACACATGCACAACTCTGCAATGGTCATTTAATGAACACTAATACCCACAGTTAACTACGCTTCCAAGTCAAGGCAGATAGATCGATAGCAGCAGTTGCCACTGGAGGCAATTTTGTCCTCTAAAGGACATTTGGCAATGTCAGGAGACATTTTTGGTTGCCACAAGTGTGGGTGATGCTCCTGGCATCTAGTGGGTAGAAGCCAGGAGTGATGCTCAACACCGTACAATGCACAGAACAGCTCTCCACAAATCATTGTCCAGCTCCAAATATCAAGAGGGCTAAGGATGAGGAATCTCTAATATCTAACCACAGGGGGGCTGCAATGAGGATCATAGTTTATAGCCAATGTTAGCTATAAACTATGCATCATCCCACCTACATCAATTACGAAATGTAAATACAGTATATATACTAAGCAAGAACACCAGTCAATGTGGTTTCATGTCACTTGGCTAAAGAATTCCGTATCTGGAGACTCTACCATTTCAGTTAGAAAACCCAAGATTCCACACTGGAGGAAAAAACACCCGTCCTTGATACCTTAATCTACTTTCTGTGTCTAAGAGTAAACATGATCTATTTAAAGCATATACATCCAGTTGTAGCATGGCCAAAGAATGTTCCAAATTTAAAATCAGCTCTAGATTGTTACCTCACCTTTTACCTATTTAACCCAAATATCTTAATAGTTGTCTTTTAATATGACATCTGATATGAATCTGAGTATAACCCTAAGATAAGACTATTTCCTTTCCTAATAAATAAAATGATTCATTGAAGCACTGCAATCTTACATTTATCTATATCTTACATTTAAGTTATCTATATCAATCATATCAAGAAGAAACCTTAAGGCTAGCAAAAAAGCTTGGTTTTTTAAGTTACTGAATTAATTTTGAGACATAGCAAAAAGCCCTATCATCCAGCAATTTGCTTAATAACCAACCACCATCTCAACATATAACCTGTACTTTCACCCAGTGTTTACTGCCAGTTACTAAGAACAATCTCATCTACATAATTAAAAGCTGGTGTTCAGTTATTTGTTGATCAATTTTAAGTAACTATTTTAACCAATTTTAGGGAAATCAGATGTAATTATTCCTATGTATTAAAATCAACACCTAGTACAAAATTATCTCTAAATTTCTACTGCATTAAATGTGAAACATGTAAATTTAATGAAAAGGAAATCAACTGATTAAAATTGAGCTTCTCATTCTTAAGGTTGCTTGTAAAAGTGGCTATAGTAACTTGACTGGAACCAGCTGCAGTATCCAGTATTTACTACACCAAAGCTACATACACAAGCACAAAATTACCGCCCCCCCCAATCTCCCCAGTTGTCAACAAAGCAGGATTGCCTTAAGTCATATAATCTGGTTAATTTCCATTCCCCCCATTGCCCAAATTTAATACCGTACCAAATAAGAGCCTGCAGAGCTGCTCCTACAGCAGTTTACTTGATCGTGGACAGAGGCCAAAATTCTGGTGCAGAATTGAAGCGTACAATTTTGGCACCCTGCTACCACCAAAGTAAAATACTGTTGTGGAACGAAAAATTTATACAACCAACACTTCCTCTTCTTCCAAACAAGCAAAGAAAATCTCAACGTGGACGGGGGAGGTCTTCTAGATATACATACAACAAGAATAAGATGAAAAATGCTAGTCATTTTTACATACATGAGCTGACTGCATATGTAATTTAACCAATTCACCTATAACCTCACGTACAGACTTTCTGAGATAGGTTTTTGGTTTGGTCTGGTTCTTAAACATAACCTCCACTTTGTGCTTTTTGAAGATAAGCATTAAACAGCATTCTCATCTGGGACTTTGAATAGCATTTTACACTACTTTACCTTTTTTAAGGACTCAGATAATTTGCAAAATGACACTGTAATTTACATTTAAAAAATATTTCAGAGTTTACACTACCTGAAATAAGTTTTACTCTATTCTTTTTGTCAAATAAACTATCCCAACAGATTCCTTTACTGGTTTGCCAGCTTGGGGAACAAAAGGGAGATTTAAGCAAACAAAGGTACAGGAACATTTACTTTAGAGCTAAACTGAAGTCACAGATATTTTCAGCTAAAATGTGTTTTTTTCTAGCCAAAAAAATTTCACTGTTTTCCTTCAAATACTTTTTCAAAGAAAAAAACTGTTTCCAATTCTCCTTGCACTTTCCTAGGCTCCAACAGCCTGACTATAGGAAAACAATATATGAAATGCCTGTATTTTCCTGAGTTAATTCCTGCTCATCCTGTTGGAGGATCATTATGACCGCACTATTCAGACCCCAGTATATTTTGAGCCAGTATTTTAATCAAATGTACACAGACATGAATGGATTTTTATTAAGAAAGCAGTTCTGGAGATTTCATTAAGCCGGTTAATTCTTTAATCACCTTTCTAAACAATGCCATAAAACTATTCCAATTTTTTTCCATTTCATCTTGATATTATTTTCATATGCATTTCGTTTATTTTTCCTCGTTAAGTTATACACAAAGATTTGATTCATCAACTTACTTTTTGTACATATCAAATTTTACTCACTCTGCCACTGAGATTTCCTTTGTGGTCATTATTGGAGTCCAACTTTCCTAATCTTATTTTGTCTAGAATATTTGTTCTCCCTAATGAAGTTGAGAACCACTGAACCACCGTGTAGTTTTACCTGTTTTATCTTGTGTTATTTGTATCCAGAATGTTAGGAGTTGGAAAAAGAACTGATAATTTGTATTTATTTCTTGGCTAAGTCACAACTGTCAGAAACGTAGCAAGACACACAAGGGGGTGGGGGGGGGAGAGTAGTGAATAGGAGCTGGGCAGAAATAGGAAGGGCTAAAGAAGAGTATGAAAACATCAAGTCCAAACATCCTGCTTCGTTCTATCAGTTCCTCTATGTGTTACAGACTAGGCAGCTGCCTCAACGGTGAGAGATTTCTCTACAATTCGTGGCTGAATTCACGCCTAACTTCCTTTACAACCGGGCAGTGGGATAAGAGGGGGCCGATGAAGCACCTAACTGATGAAGGCTTTCTCCCAGAGGTCATCAAGGC